AGCTGCCACATCCTATCCCAGAGGTGGCTGCATCTCAGTGCTGGGTGCAGGATACTATGCTGTATAAACTGCCCCCCATGGCTCCACCCCAGAGGCAGCTGCATCTGAGCGCAACATGCCCAATGATCCATCCCTTGAGTATCCCAATGGCGTTTCACAGCCAAGGTTTGCCCTGCTGCTGCCTGAGGTGTCCCTGTTCTGTGGCTAAACAGACGCTGACCGTCCCCAGGGCTCTCAGTCCAGCGCCTCTCCCCAGCCCCTAAACCCCACTTCACAAATCAAACAAGCAACACACAGTTGATTTTGTGCCTCTTTGGTAGAGGAGGACGCAGTGCAGATGTCTGGCCACTGGGGACTGTCAGTCACACACAAGCTGATGGGGGCAAGGGGGTCTGTGACCCCCTGAAGAAATAACCTCAGTCAACTTGAGTTGAGCAAAGCTTGGAGGGTGGGGGCTGTAACTCTGGGGTCTAAGCAGTTCCCTCCCCTCCCCACAGCCCGGTGGACCCCAGCCGGCTTTGTGGCTGTAGCATTGAACAGCAGCTGGGCCGGTCACCCCAGCAGGTGAGGTTACTGGGCCAGAGATTGTCTAAGAAGCTGGTTTATATGGTGTGGGAGCTGACACTCAGTTCCCCCCACCGCCTGCTCTAACCACTGGACCCCACCAGAAGCGGGAATAGAACCCAGGAGTCCTGACTCTCAAGTTCCCCCCCATCCCTGCTCTAACCACTAGACACCACTCTCTTCCCACAGGACATGAATAGTGGGGAGCTCCTGGACTCTAGCTTAATGCCCCCCCACACCTCTTAAAATGGACAGCTAGCCCTGGGCCGGGCCCCTCTGGCTCCTAACAGCCAGTGGAAGTGATCCAAGGTTGGGCACCTCGATTGCTTTAAGGATCTGGGCCCGGGTCTGCCCTTCACTGCCTGTCTGTCAGGGTGCGAGACCTGAGACATGGGGGCAGGGTGGGGCCTCTGGTTTGCTGGGTGCCACCGGCAACTCCTGGGTTCCAGGCCCAGCTCGGGGAGGGGTATCGGGGGGGGGGGGGGAAGGGGGAAAGTGTTTGTGTTTTAACTGTCTTCCAATGACAGGAAGTTTTGTTTAAAACCAGGTGCAAAACCAAGGTGTAGGATAAGAAACCCTTTAAAATCTATTGGGAGTTGTCTATTTATGACTTAGAATTTCTGTCTTTCTGTCTACACATCTATCTATCTATCCCACACACCCCTCTATCTAGCTATCTATCCCCCCCCACACCCCTCTATCTATCCCTATATCCACCCCTCTGCAGTGGCTACAGGAGAACAGCTACGGGCCGGGGAGCTGTAGTATAACCCTGCCTACGTTACAGACAGTTTGTCCATGGCTGTCGCTCATCCACCTACCTCAGAGGCAGGAGCTCGGTGGATGGAAGAATTTTTCGGTCGACCTGACCGCATCTACAACGGCGAGGAGGTCGACCAAACTCAGGGCCGGCTTTAGGCCGATTCCCCGGAATCGGGCCCCACTCCTAAGCGGGCCCCACGCCTTAGGCGCTTTTTAAAATTTTTTTTTTTTACTCACCCGGTGGCGGTCTGTTGCGGGGGTCTTCGGCAGCATTTTGGGGGCGGGGGGACCGTGGTGGGGGGCTCCGCCCTGGGGGTCTTCAGCGGCATTCTGGTGGCGGGGGGTCCTTCGGTGCCGCAGAAGCCCCGGAACGGACCCCCCACCGCCGAAGCCCCGGACCGCCGCCGGGTATTCGAATCGGGCCCCGCAGTTCATAAAGCCGGCCCTGACCGAACAAACTACAACGTTTTTCATCTCCCTGAGGTTTGGAGCTAGGCCGATCTCATTTTTAGGTGTAGCCGAGGCCTAACCCGGACAACGCGAACAGCCGGCGTTAGACCGGTTCCTCCAAGAGCTGTGGAAAGGCTGCAGAGTCCTGGGGTGCCCCAGGAGAAGCCCTCTTGGGGGCTGGGCTAGCGGGCTGGGCTGGGCTAGTTTCGCCATCCTCCAGTCCCTGATCAGTCGTATGTATGTGTATCACAGCTGCACTTAGGAATCCGAGTCATGGTGGTCTGAGCATTGGCCTGCTAAACCCAGGGTGGTGAGTTCAATCCTTGAGGGGGCCATTTAGGGAACTGGGGTAAAAATTTGGGGATTGGCCCTGCTTTGAGCAGGGGGTTGGAATAGATGACCTCCTGAGGTCCTTTCCAACCCTGATATTCTATGACTCTAAGGGTATGTCTACACTACAGGATTAATCCGAATTTAGATAATTCGAATTTGGGAAACAGGTTGTATAAATTCGATTGTGCGCGGCCACACTAAGCACCTTAATTCGGTTTTAAACCACATTAATTCGGTGGTGTGCGGCCACACTACCCCATTAACTTAAACACAGTAATTCGGTGGTGTGCGTCCACACTAACCCTAATTCGAATTAACAAAATCGATTTAGGCTCTACTCCGTTCGTCGAGGTGGAGTACAGAAATCGATTTAAAGGGCCCTTTAATTCGAATTAACTGGCTCTGTAGTGTGGACGGGTGAAGGGTTAATTCGGATTAAGGCAGCTAAATCCGAATTAAAGTCCTAGTGTAGACCAGGCCTAAGCAGCCCCCTGCCTCAGGGCTGCCGAGAGCAGGTTTGGGCCCCGGTGAAAAAAATTTTGGGGCCCCCCAGCAAGGGCAGACCAGCTAAACAGGGCTGACAAAGCCGGGCCCCGGGCCCCCTTCTGGACCGCCAGCCCCCGGTAATTTGTACCGGCTTCCCCCCCCCCTCGTTGGCCCTCCCCTGCCTACCCCCTGCCCGTCTAACCTAGAGCCTGGTCTACACTTCAAAATGACACCTAGGGCGCTCAGGGCTGAGGAAAACGCTGTCCCCTGAGCGCTGGGGAGCGGGTTAGACGTGACCCCAAGGGCCACCTAACCTCGCCTGCCGTGGCTGGCTAATCTCCTGGGACCCACCCCGCTGGGTGCCGCCCGGTCTCGCTGGCACTGCTGTGAGGGGCATTAAACTCCCCAGGCCTTAGGGAGAGGGGATCAGGCGCTGCGGGAGCCTCGCAGGGGGGGGCGGAGGTAAGTCCCCCCCCCCAGGTGGGTGGAGGCGGTGGGCGTGGCTTGTGCAAAAGGGGGCGTGGCTCCTCCGCCCCCAGCTGTTGTTGCCCGATGACTCCACGTGGCTGGCGGAGCGGCTTGACATGCGGGGCGGGGGGGATCGGATTCGCTCCGGCTTTATAAGCCGGGAGCCCGGCGCTGGGGCGCTGCCTCTGGGATTTGCCTTGCCCCGAGCCATGGCCTACCTCCGCTGGGGGCTGCTCCTGCTCCTGGGCGGCCCCGTGCTGGCGGCCCCTTTGCGATGGGACAGATCCCCGGTAAGGTGATCCAGGGATCGGGGGTGATAGGGGGAGAGGGCATGGGATGAGGGGCTGGCTCTGGGGGGAGAGGAGAGGGGGGGTAAGGACATGGGGATTGGGGAGGGGCTGGCTCTGGGGGGCAGAGAGTGGGAGAGGGCATGGGATGAGGGGCTGGCTCTAGGGGGAGAGGAGTGTGGGAAGGATCATGGGGTGGGGAGAGAGTAGGGGGTTGGCAGGAGGGAGCATGGTGGGGGTAGGGGGCTAGCCATGGGGGGAGTGTAGATGTTGTGGGGCTAGAGGTAGGGGACTGGCTATGGGGCAGGGAATAGGGGAGGGCTATAGGGAGCGGGCTGGGGCTAGCTATGGGGTAACATGATTGTGGGGCTAGAGGTGGGTTCTGGCTGTGGGGCAGGGAAGCAGGGGGGTCCTATAGGGAGCGGGGTGGG